ACATATATGAGAGAGAGAGAGAGCAACGAACACCAGAGACGACAACACAGCAACAGAGAGAGAGAGAGAGAGAGAGCAAGACGCGAAGCACGCACAAGACGAGACAGAGACGACACGCGAAGCACAGAGAGAGAGCAACGAGACAGCACGTACAACAACCACACACACGCACACACAACACACACACACACACACACACACACACACACACACACATCACACACACACACACACTCATTCAAAAAATAAAAAAATAATGACTGTACCAAAAAAAAAAAAAAATGTGCTTCCAAGTAAAATTCACCATCAGTAATTCATGAAAAATATTCTGTGAAATATGTAAAAATATGCGAAGAAAACGGATTCTCTGAAATATTCTGCTTTGATATCCCGTCCGGAGGAAAATTCGACGGAATTCGAAAATTTCTCGGAATGTTTTTTTTTTTTTTTTTTTCTTTTGTTGTTTATATATATGTATATATATATATATATATATATATATATAATACATATATATATATATATATATATATATATATAATATATAAGTATATATATATATATATAATATATATATATATATATATATATATATATATATATATATATATATATATTATATATATATATATATAATATATAATATATATATATATATTTATATAATATATATATTATATATATATATATATATATATATATAATATATATATGTATATATATATATATATATATATATATAGATAGAGATTAGAGAGAGAGAGAGAGAGAGAGAGAGAGAGGGAAAGAAAGAAAGAAAGAAAGAAAGAAAGAAAGAAAGAAAGAAAAGAGAGAGAGAAGAGAGAGAGAGAGAGAGAGAGAGAGAGAGAGAAGAGAGAGAGAGATAAGAACGCTTCTTGGGACGTTTACTGCACATCATAAAGTCGACCACAATTTATTTACTGGAAATCTCTTTAACGTTACAACGACCATTATGACTTTGTGTGTGTGTGCGTGCGTGCGTCTGTGCGTCTGTGCGTCTGTGCGTGCGTGCGTGCGTTGTGCGTGCGTGCGTGCGTCTGCGCCTACGTGCCTATATGCATATATTTACACATGCAGATTAACCGGTCTGCGATCACGTAAACACAGCAAGGGGCAACATACGATAGTGGATCAGGCAATCCCAACATAAGACAGAGCAATGACATGTCACCGCATAGCCGTTGATTTCAGACTATTGTAGACATTGCACGATGACTCCCCCTCTCCCCCCTTCCTCCTTCCCCTCTCCTTCCTGCCCTCTCCTCCTCCCTCCCCCTCTCACCTTCCTCACCTCCCTCCTCCTCCTTCCTCCCTCCTCCCCTCCCTCCCCTCCCCCTCCCCTCCCTCCTCTCCCTACCTCCCTTCCTCCCTCCCTCCCTCTCCCTCCTCCCTCCTCCCTCTCCCTTCCCCCCTCCCTCCCTCTCCTTCCTCCTCCCTCCCTCTCCCTCCCCCGCCCCCCCCTTTCATCTGGATGAGATTATGAGACGCAGAAACGAAAAGGCTACAGAGGGTGATGGGCGGGAGGGTGGAGGGTAGAGGGGGGGTATGGAAAGGGGGGGGGTGGAGGGTGCTTAATGGGAGGGAAAGGGAAAGGGAAAGGGGTGGGGACATGTTTTAAGAGGGGAGGGTCGAACGAGGTCGAAAGGGGGGGAGAGGGGGAGTAGGGAGCTGTGGGAGGAGGGTGGAGGTATGGTTAAGGGGAGGGAAAGGGAGGAGAGGTTAAAGGGAGGGTTGTAGGGGGAGAAGGGGGGAGGAAAGGAGGGTTTGTAAGGAGGAGAGGGGGAGGGAAAGGGAGGGAAAGGGAGAGATTGAAAGGGAGGAGAGGGGGGAGGGAAGGAGAGATTATAAGGGGAGAGGGAAGTTTCGGATTAACGAAATATAATCAATTACAGATGGAAGATAATCGCGTAAGGAGTGACGGACTTAGGCCCTCGGGAGTAGCATAATAACAGACAAGACAGACAGAAGCGCAAACAGAGATAGAGATAAGGAAGGGACGGAAAGGTAGAGATAAACAGAGACAGAAAGGTAAAGATAGAGATTGAGGGAGAGTGTCTGTGTATCGTAGGATTCCCCGTGTTTGTTTTGAGTCAGCAGGAGGAGAGAGAGAGAGAGAGAGAGAGAGAGAGAGAGAGAGAGAGAGAGAGAGAGAGAGAGAGAGAGAGAGAGAGAGAGAGAGGAGAGAGAGGAGTAGGAAGCGATGCGGTGGGGAGGAAATGGGGAAATGGAGGGGCAGGGAGAAAGCGAAGGCCGGGCATGGGGGAAAAGAGAGAAGGGAAAGGTAAAAAAAAAAAGGAAAAAAGGAACAAAGAAACAAAGGTAAAAGGATGGAGACCGTAGACTCGGGAATTCAAGGAGAAGATAGAGAAACAGAAAAAGAAAACAGAAAACAAAAAGAAAACCAGTACTCACTTAGGAATTTACGCGTCGCTTGTAATGCCTCGTTAAGAATGACGCGCGTCTGTTATGTGCGGGGGGG